GAGGGTCTTTGATGATATATTTCAGGTTATTTTTGGTTGGTATAACCTGATACTAAATGGCCAGCAGTGAACCTTCTGTTTCAGGAAACATCTTTCCTGATGTCAGCCAATAGTTCGACGCTATATTGTCGGCATGGTCTTGACTGACCTCATTGGGATATCGCCCGTGCAGAGGTTTGCCCATCCACGTGCGCATTTTTTCGTCCTTAGTAAGATGGTTTATGCACATTTCTGGTTCCCTCAGTTTGATCGGTGTAAGAATATTGTATTCCCAGTTGTGGAATAAACTGCACAAATCGCGCGATGAAGATTAGATGTCTCCGCCTGCACCTGAAAATAAGTTCTTAAATTAGTAATCTGTTTTACTAATTGCTCGCTTATATCCATAAGTCCTCGACCTCCTAAATACCGCGGTACTATCGTTCTTTCTACTGTACTTCGAGGATGGTGTTTTTGTGCCTTTGTGAGGTGTGTTCCTGGCCGTTTTGCATATCGAATCTGCTGGGCTGAACCTTTCCTTTGATTATATTTAAGACACGGCACTTGTCAAGACCGAAGTGCATACTAATATTATTTGAGAAATTTTCTACAGTTTTTAGCATCTAATCTAAGTGGTTTCGAGTGAAAACCATTAATTTCAAATCATCCATATACAACAAATGATTAAGCTTCGCCACAACAGTATTGTTATTTTTGATACTAAAACCTGAGTCAGTGGAGTTCAGTAGCTGAGATAGTGGGTTTATCGCTAAACAGAACGAGAGAGGACTCAACGAGTCCACCTGGAAAAGGCCCCGGGTGATTGCAATATTTTCAGTTTCGATAATGTTTTCACCAGGTATTTGGAGATGAATTTTTGTCTTCCAATCTGACATCATATGTTTTAAAAAGATCACTATGTTGTCATCGATTTTATATATTTTTAATATATCTATAAGCCATTCATGCGGCACTGAATCAAACGCTTTCTTGTAGTCGATGAAAGCAGTAAAGAGATTCCGTTTTATGCTATACGCTTGGTTAGAAATGACAGAGTCGATGATAAGTTGTTCTTTGCAGCCCATGGAACCCTTAGCGCATCCATTCTGTTGAGGCTCTATGATATTGTTTAGAGCATCGTGTTGGTTGATACGCTGGGCTACACAGGATGTGACCAATTTATACAGAGTAGGAAGACAAGTAATTGGGCGGTACTTGGTTGGATCTTGGGTGTTATTTTAATCTTTGGGAATTAAATAAATTGTTTCCTGGGTTAGGAAAGATGGTATTTCCTGCGGATTAGAAATAGTGTTATTAATTATTGTTGATAAGCACTCATGAATACTCCAGAACTTCTTAAGCCAGAAGTTATGAACGCCATCTGGTCCAGGAGATTTCCAGTTATGAAGCTCTTTGATAATATTTGAAACTTCTTCAGTAGTGAAGGGTTTGTAGGGAGCAGTAACGTAATGTTGGCAGTTGTGCGCTGTATCTTCGATTCATTCAGCATTGGTGTTAAGAGCAGCTGGTGTCGAAAGTTGATTTCCTCTAAACTCATGGATTTCTTCTCAGCTTGGGTAAGATTTATTTACACTTTCTGTAGTAGAATTGAGTTCCCGATAGAACGCCTTCTCAACATTTTCAAAAAACATATTGTCGGATTTTCCTTTGTTACTAATTTTGTATCTTCTTAGTCAGCCTGAGTAAACGGAAAGTTTTTGTTTTAATGTATCCAGGCACTGTTGTGCTGTATTGTTTTCTGGATTATATTGTGAGTGTCTTGCGGTGGTTAGCATTATTTCTTCAGCTCTTCTGATTACTTTTCTACTTGTTGTTGTTTGAACATATTCCGTGATTTGACCAATACCCCTACGTAATGATTCAATTTTTGTTAGAAGTCGTTTTTCCCAAGGTGCCACTCTGTTATATTTTCTTCCGATATTAGTACCCCGTCGTGTTCTGGTCTTAATGCCCATAACATTAGCAATTGCTGTTGCTGCACAGTTTAATCAGTGTGTGCATATATTCCAATGTATGGTCTTCTACTACATAATTGGGCAGGACTTCAGTGTTCACAATTTGTAACAGCACACCTAGTCTCTTACAAGAGTTTACTCTTGGTAGCGGTGGTCTGCTAAGTGGATTTGTTCCAATAAACTCTTGTACGGCGCGTGCCATTTCGTTCACTATGCTATCCTGCCATTCGTTATCCTGCTGTGTATTACCAGGTTAAGTTTCTTGTTCTTGTATAACAACCTCAGGAATTTTCTCTTGTATTTTATTAAGGGCTTGATTTCCAACTATCTCCTGATTATGAATCTCCTGTTCGACTTCGCTTCTGATGATATTGCGTCTAGTCTCTGGGATGATATTATTTCTGATAATTACCCGGTATTGATCGGTTACTCGTTGTTGAGATACTTGCATTTCTGGGTACTCTCTACAAAATTCGGCATACAGATTTTGTCGATAGCCGATCGTTTATTAATTACTATTATTCAGATTTAGCCATACGCTTCACACTCCCTCTAAGGAGAAAATTCACTCATCCCAGATAAATGCGGTATCAAAAGGATTGAGCTCTGGTGGGACTCTTTCCGTATTATCGAGCCCTAGGTGACTTGATATGCTGGAGTATCTCCCAAACATTTTCGTACACATCTGGACGTTGAGAGTAGTACAGCTTTCTGCATGGTCTTGTAGAGATGTTCATTTAGACCTAACTTTTTTATGTTTTCTAGGAGGTTCTTTGGAATGACTCCAGTAGTAGAGAGAATAATAGGTATTGTCTGGGTACTTTCCATTTTCCACTGTTAATTAAATACTATTATTATTATCCCAGATTTAGCCATACGGCTCAAACTCCGTCTAAGGGGAAAATTCCCTCATCCCAGATACCTACGGTATCAAAAGGATTGAGCTCTGGTGGGACTCTTTCTGGGTTATCGAGCCCTAGGTGACTTGGTATGTTGGAGTATCTCCCAAAAATTTTCGTACACATCCGGACGTCGCGAGGAGTACAGTTTTCTGCATGGGTTTATAAAGATGTTCATTTAAACCCAGTTATTTTATGTTCGCTAGGAGGTTTTTGGGAATAACACCTATAACCTTCTCACCTATATCCATAAGTCCTCTTCCTTCTTGATACCGCGGCAATGTTGTTCTCTCTACTGCACTGCGTGGATGATGTTTTTGCGACTTTGTGAGAAGTGTTCTTACTTTCCGCTGAAGACCCTCTATATCCGTTTTTTGACCACTTTATAATACCAAATGAGTAGCTCAGCGCAGAACAGGCGTACGTATTTAATGCCTTAAACAAATTTTTACTATTAAGATATGACCGATTTAGTTGTCTTACTCTTCGCACGAACTCCGAAGTTAGTTCAGTTTTCATCTCTTTATGGTCAATTTTCCGCGCCTGTTTTACTCCGAGATATTTGTAAATATCATTTTCACCCATTGCCTCGATGTTTTGGCCATCTTGCATATCGAAACCTCCGGGCTGAACCTTTCCTCTGACTATATTTAATATACGGCACTTGTCTAGTCCAAACTGCATACTGATATCATTTGAGAAAGTTTCTACAGTTTTTAGCATCTGATCTAGGTGGTTTCGAGTGGAAGCCATTAACTTCAAATCATCCATATATAACAGATGATTAAGCTTCGCCACAACAGTGTTGTTATTTTTGATGCTAAATCCTGAGTCAGTGGAGTTCAGCAGCTGAGATAGTGGGTTCATCGCAAGGCAGAACCAAAGTGGACTCAACTAGTCACCCTGGAAAAGGCCCCGGTTAATAGCGATATCTTCAGTTTCGATATTGGTTTCACCAGGTATTTGAAGGTGAATTTTAGTCTTCCACTTCGTCATTATATGCTTCAAAAAGGTCACAAGATTATCATCGACTTTATATATTTTCAATATATCTATAAGCCATTCATGCGGCACTGAATAGACTGAATAGACACTGAATAGACACTGAAAAGCTCTCAAGTGAATAGACCAATGACGTATAATATATAGACCCGGTGAATGCTTTAAAAAGTGTCCACAACATGAATACCTTTGTTATTGTTTTGATACGATGAACGAAGTTCATGATTTCTTACGAAGCTACCGAACAACGGTGACGAAGCATCACGAAGTTGATCTTGTGTTTGAAAACATCATGGACGTATGAAAACATTTTCTCCATTTTGTGTGTTTACATATTTTATGTGACAAGCAAATTTTATTTTAAATTGTTGAGAGTTACTTACATACTATTTTAGTAAAATGCCATACTATTTTATCAAAATAATTATTTCTCTTATAGACGGGAACAAAAAGAAATCATAAATATTTAATTTTAATTAAAAAAATAATTATTGTCAATAACATTTAAATGAGCACGCCGCTGTTCTTGTAAACATACCTTCAACCTTGAGCAGAGATCTTTCGGACACTCGATTATATAGCCAGAATAGGGGAACCGCTTAGTCTATATCACAGAATAATAAACAATCAGAAGGGCCACTCTCAGATGCCGCCTTTGAAGTTTTTCAGCACGCGCGCCATGTTTTAGGAGGACACAGACCTATGATTTGTGTGGTTATGTAATTGTTTATATTTATGTTTAATTATATTATATTTATGTTATTATATTTAACAATGTTAATATAATTGTATAGTATGTCTATGATTGCCGTAAGTCAAATAAACCTGGTTAATTTTTCCATGCACACCACATAAACAACACTAATTTCTTTAAAATCCTCCTAAAACATGGCGGAACGTCTGCGTGGAGGAGATGCGCGTACTTAATTTTCCGTGGAGAGTGGGTATTCTGTTTGTTTATTATTCTGTGTGTATATATTATACGTCATTGGAATAGACTTACTTGAGAGCTTGAGACACCTTGAGATATGAAATGATTGTCAGGTGTCATGTGTCATCACTGTCATTTCTTGTTGTTTCATGTCCGTGATTTTTAAAAACAAAACATTTTAAATGAAAAATGTATATAAGAAGTAACGTTGTTGTTTGTTTGTGTTTAAATGACTGCGGACACTAAATCCATTCGCCAATCTTACAATTTGAGGTGTAGTGTGTGTGTGTGTAGAGTAATTGTCTTGATACTTAGCAAAGTCGACGTCATTGTCTTTGCTAAGAGACGCTAATTGTATCCGAACGTCTGCGGTCCCTCCGGTGTGTACCGATCACACAAGGATAGAAATTATTTTCATTTATTAATTTTTTTTTTTTTTTTTTTTTTTTTAATAAACGAAAATTTCCACCCAGGTGGGATTCGAACTCACGACCTTTAGATTTAAAGGCAGGCGCTCTTACCACTGAGCCACAGAGGGGGTTAAGAAGTAACGTTGTGCACTCAATGAAAACCGTTGATCATTAATCACTAATTTAAGCAGATTCCGTTGATATGAATTTTAGGCTCGTAGAAGTTCTACCCTCTTACTACACTATAATCCCCAGCTGAGCGAATGGCAAAGAATATATTCTTTGATTGTAGGTTAAGAGTTATCACTGGGCGATGCGATTTTGTGTTCAATTTATTTGTTAGTTATGCAATTTAACATTGAAATTAAGGAAGAGTCTGTTAAATGTAGCCAAAGACACATGGAGAATCAGCTTTTCACATCAACCGATGGTGGAGACTCAAAGAATGAACCAGCAGGTAACTCAAGTAATAATTAGTACTAAACAATGAAATGCAATTCGTATTTTTTTTTATTAGCTAGGGCAGTAAAAGTTGAAATTAAGGAGGAGTTTGTTGAAAGTGAACCAAGATATATAGAGAGTCAGGTATCCACCTCCCTTGATCTGGGAGACTTAAAGATTGAACCAGATGAGTATAACTCAAGTAAGATAAGCAATAATAATTAATACTAAACACTTAAATGTTTAAATTTTTTTTAAGATAGGACAAAAACTGAAATTAAGAAGGAGTTTGTTGAAGGTGATCCAAGATATATAGGGAGTCAGCCATCCACCTCCCTTAATCTGGGAGACTTGAAGAATGAAGATACCTTAGGTGGGATAAATAATAAAAATATTTAGATATTTTTATTCATTTTCCCATGGTAATCAGATTTTATTTTTGAAGAATATATTGCTTGTGTCACCTGCATAAATCCATACTCACTACCAGCATTAATTATAATATATCTGTAAAAAAAACTCAGAGGTTTGATAAACTTAATAACCCTAATGCTGATAATAATAATATATAATTAACAAATCGACTAATGTGACTAACCTTTTTATCATCTGTTTTTGTGGTTGTGACACTTCTTTTGTCTTCATTTTGCCATGATCGACATATTGTTCTAAATTGGAAAGTCCATGTTTCACCAAAGAAAACAAACTTATACAAAAAATTTGCTGCAATATAATTTCTTAAAATAAAGTTCTCTTCAAGTCCATGTCTTGAAGAATCTTTTTTTTTTTCATCTGAAACCCAATTTATTTAATAATAACTTCTTTAATGATGTAATGGAACCATCGAACATCTGCTTCTTAACCAAGTTGTCTGTTAATATTAAAGTTACATCTTTCTCTACAAAGAAAGCACTATGATTAATAAACACTTCTTAAGAACAATCATTCTGTCTACATTTGCTAATTTTTAAAAGTTCTTGCTTGTTTTGTACATGTTATAAATAACATCACAAATAATCACTGACTTTCAACTCTTCTCTATTAGATTCAGTCGTTTTGTAATAAATTTTAGGAGGTGATTTAAAATGTTCATAATGTTTAACAGTTTAGAAATATTATTCACAGTAGATACAGTTAGTTTTAAGACTGCTGCAAAATATGTAAGAAAACACTTTAATACAAAATTATTCATTCTAAATTCTTTAACTTACCTCTTTTAGAGCATTTAATAGTAAAAACGGTCCATCATAATTTCGTTCTTGTTTAAAATAAACTATTTAACAGGCAATCAACTCTCTACAGATTATTCAGTTGATTTTGACATAGCACAGTCACTATTAAGCTAAATTTACTATGTATTTATTAATAAATTGTGAATCAAATTGTGTAAAAACTTAAATCAAACAAAATTCTTACTCTAAGAAGTTGGCAACATTGTAAACAATTTTGTGAAACGCTAACAGAGAAAATCAAACAGCCGAAATATCGAGACGAGTAAGAATGGGATGGGCAGCGTTCCGCAAACTTTCTTACGTTTTAAAAAATCAAACAATCCCTCTATACTTACGAAGCAAGGTATATAACTCCTGCATAATACCGGTGCTCACCTACAGAGCACAGACATGGATATTTACACAGGCCAATTTGGATAGGATAAGGAAGGCACAAAGAGTGATGGAGAGACAAATGTTGGGTGTATCACTTAGAGATAGAAAACGTAACCAGTGGATCAGAACCAGAACAGAGAATAAGCAGCAAAACTGAAATGGAAATGGGCTGGACACAATGAACGTCTCCAAGGCGGACGATGGAACAATGCCATCGGAAAGTGGCATCCATACAATGCAAAGAGATCAAGAGGCAGACCACAGATGAGGTGGAGAGAACTGGGGGAGACCTATATCCAACAATGGAAAGATAGGCCATAGGTTCAAAAAAAAATCTGCTGTGTTACAGAAACTTGAACTCTAAGGTTGATGTTATGAAAATTTTAAATACGAGTGATGCCATTTTCTATAATTCGTGACATGCATCGTTTTTACTGTGAAAAATACTATACCAATTGTTCAGTTTGTTTCTCCAAATTAGTGAGCTGGAGTCAGCAGCGATTTACAATATATAGTTCTTTTTTGTAGAAGAAAATTGGTATATGTGCTAAAACCACTTTCCACTAGGTAGGAAGATGGAAAAGCTATTAAAAACTTTTTTTACAACAGTCCATAAAGCATGCTATAACGTTCAATAAAACACGGCGACTTAGATGGGCTGGACACATAATACGAATGCCAGAAAATACCATTGCTAAAAAGCTAACCACAGGAACACCTGTAGGAAAAAGAAGCAAAGGCCGACCGCGAATTACGTGGTTAGATGGAGTAGAAACCGACTTACTAATATTAAAAATCAGAAGATGGCAACATGTTGCCAAAAACCGAACAGAATGGCGACGAATCTTAGAGCAGGCCAAGATCCACAGAGGATTGTCGAGCCAAAGATGATGATAATAAAGCAGGCTAAAAAAGTGCTAATTGGACTTAGTTCTTGTATAGTGCTACTATTATGACACCCATTTTTGCCATGTTACAATATGTGCTGATAATCCACTGTGGTTTTTTCATAGTTAAAATTTCTTCAAACCTATTAGTGAAATATGTATGAAGGACAAATATTACATCTAGGGATAAAATATTTGTCAAAAGCATTTAGGACTCGCTCATAAGTATCTCATAAGTATCTGAAGTAACTAGAAGGATAGGAAATGAGGCGAAAATAATATTAACTATTAAAAGACTTGAGTACTTGGGACATGTGATGAGAGGGCAAAAATACGCATTATTACAACTTATTATGCAGGGCAAAATCCGAGGAAAGCGAAATGTGGGAAGACGAAGAATATCCTGGCTTAAGAACTTGAGGGAATGGTTTGAATGCAGTAGTGCAGAACTTTTTAGAGCGGCAGTCAACAGAGTCCGCATAGCCATGATGATTTCCAACCTTCGATAGAAGATGGAACTTAAAGAAGAAGACATAAGTATCTGGAATTTGTTGAAATTGTAGTAGAATATTTTCAGATTCTTCTCCCATAAGGTATAATAGGATATATTTTTTTTGTTCTTCTGTCCTTTGCAGCTGCCCAGATGCCGAAATATCGTCTAACTGTTTCCTCCATGTTTGCCATATTGCTGGGGCCAAAAAATTAAAGTCCTTAGGAGGGTTAACATTTAAAGGTGCTGGACTCACTATAACTTAAGTATGTGTTGCAGTCGTTAAATTTGTACAAAGAATAATAGAAGTAATAGTAGACATTTGACACTGGCTATAATTTCATCCACAATGCAATATTTTCTTGTCTATTAACATTACGAATTAAGTCACTATTTATTAAGGTGTATTTATTCTAATTTTAACCCCAAAATTTTAACATGCTTAGTTCTTCCGCAAAATTTCCAATGCCAAGAAAGAAAGGGGCACTAGACAAGTAAAATATAATTTACATATGCTAAAAAATGAAAATAATGAGAAACAGTTCCAGTCACATATAAAAGAAACCCTAGAACACACCTGGGCAGTCGACCAGTCAAGCACGGAAATGTGGAACAACTGCAAGGAGGCTCTGAAATTAGCAGCCGAAAGCATGATACTATTACTATAAGATAAGATATTGCGCATGTTTTTGTGACGTCATTGGAGACTTGCACGTTCGAAATATCAGTTTTTGTATATATCAATAATTAATCTTTAATAAATAGTTTGGAGATATCCTTATGTGTACGATTATTGTAATTATTAAACCTCTTAACTTATTTTCGTCTAGTTATTTCATCACAGAATGCATACAAATCTCATTTAACTTTAACAAGAATTCAAATTCTAGTCTCCAATGACGGCATGCGCGAACCCGACCGATTTTGAGCTACGGGAAGATCCTATCTTGTTATTCATAGTATCATGGCCGAAAGCACATTGGGAATATCCCGAACCCAAGAAAGAAACGACTGGTTCGACCAAGACTGCAAAAAAATAACAGATGAGAAGAACGAGGCATTTAGAACCATGCAACAACGAAAAACTAGAACAACAATAGATAGATACAAAAACTTAAGGAGAGAGGAAAAACGCATACACCGAAAAAAGAAACGAGACTCGGAAAATGACATGTTAGAACGGCTCGAAAGCCATATAAGTCACGGAGAAACAAGAAAGTTCTACCATCAAATAAATAGTATTAGAAAAAAATTCAAACCAAGAATCAACTATTGTAATGATAAGGAAGGCAACTTACTTACCAACAAAGAGGACATCCTTTTACGATGGGTAGAGCACTTTCGAGATTTGCTGGAAGGAGAACCTACTAACAATATAGAGCTGGAATACCGAAATGAGGAACTCGTGGAACCCTCCTCGGTAGATGAAGTAAAAACATCTATAGAAAAACTAAGGAACCATAGGTCCCCAGGTAGCGATGGCATCCCAGCAGAGTTATTTAAGCACGGTGGAGAGCAGCTCACCAAGGTGATGCGAGAAATTGTTTGTAGAATTTGGTCTGAGGAGCAAATGCCAGAAGAATGGAGCTTAGGCTTAATTTGCCCGTTACACAAAATGGGAAACCAACTGGAATGCAATAATTACCGCGGAATAACTCTCCTAAATACAGCATACAAGATATTATCAAATATTTTGCACGAGAGATTAAAGCCTTATACTGAAATGTTTCTAGGGGAATATCAGGCAGGATTCAGGCCTGGACGTTCAACCATTAACCAGATCTTTACACTACGACAGATCCTCGAAAAAGCGCAAGAGTTTAACATAGATATGTATCATATTTTTGTCGATTTTAAAGCGGCATATGACAGTGTCTTAAGACCAAGTCTTTACAACGCTATGAATGAGTTAGGAATTCCAAAAAAACTCATACGTTTGATAAAAGTGACAATGGCGAAGATGCTATCAGCAGTAAAAATTCAAAACGACTCGTCAACCCCATTTCAAATACATAGGGGGTTAAGGCAGGGAGATGCGCTGGCGTGTCAGCTTTTAATGTCGCCTTAGAAAAAGTTGTACGAGACGCTAATTTAGATAGCAGGGGAACAATATTTAATAGATCAGTCCAAATTCTAGCATATGCAGACGACGTGGACATTGTAACAAGAACTAGGGCGAGAACTGCGGAAATCCTAACCGAGCTAGTAGCAGCAGCAGAACGAATGGGGTTACATATAAATCAAAATAAAACCAAATTCATGGCGACTAACACAAACACAAGAGCTGGAAATGTTGACACAAATTTAATCATCAATGACCAAAATTTCGAAGCAGTCAATGAGTTCATATATCTAGGGACATCGGTTAACCCCAATAATAATACATCTGAGGAAATAAAAAGGCGAATAATAATTGCAAACAGGTGTTATTATGGTCTATCAAAGTACTTAGCTAACAAACGTCTGTCTTAAAAAACTCGTATAAGGCTGTATAGAACACTGATAGTCCCCGTTCTTACATACGGATCAGAGGCATGGACGCTAACGAAAACAGATGAATCCGCTCTATCCATTTTTGAAAGAAAGGTGCTACGCAAGATATTTGGAGCGGTCTGTGAGAACGGAATATGAAGGCGTAGATATAACTTCGAACTGCAGAATATCTACAAGCATACGTTTGGTGGTAAAGATATTACCACTATAATTAAGCGAAACCGCCTGCAGTGGGCAGGACATGTAGCCCGGGCCCCTGAATCGAACATGATAAAAAAGATTCTAACAGCGCAACCTGTGGGAATGAGACGACGGGGTAGACCAAAGCTGAGGTGGATGGATGGGGTAACACAAGATGCGGAGAAGATCGGATTCGGCAACTGGAAAATTCAAGCAAGGGACAGAACACAATGGCGTAGAAAGCTTGAGAAGGTCGAGGCCCTCCAAGGGCTGTAGCACCAAGATGATGATGATGAAGTTCTTCCGCAAAATCCTTACCTAACCTAATACTAAGCCAGCTCATATTATAGTACTCCTATATGGTAGGCAACCATAGAGACACTAACACAACAACACAGATATTTAGCAAAAACATAGGCAAACATCCAACTCACTTGCACTGATGTACTTCTATGAGAAACGCGCTCAAACGAATACCGCAGTTATACGAGTAATTTCATGAATGGTAAATCATTTACATTTTTAAAATTAAATTATATTTTTATTTGTCATAAAAAAATATAAATACTATTCATGCCAAATGTCCCGTGGCCTAACGAAGACCAACAATTTCCTCATTGGTAAATTTAGGATTTCTTCCGGTTGGTTCAATCCCCAGTAAACCAGTGAATTACTGCCTCGTATCACTTGAAACACTCTAATGGCATAAGATGTGTATGGTACTCTCTTCTTTCATTTCTCAGTTTCAGTACCATATATTATTTACCTTACCTATTTTGTATAGGCTTTTTCTTATACGACAATGTCTAGTCACTATTTTGTTTTACCGTTTTTACCTCTCGTTTATCGAGGTTCGTCAAATTATTTGAAAGTTTCTTACCAATATTGGTCATTATTTTCTTAGTCTGGATTTGCCCTTGAGTAGCCCTCCATTTCTTTTGATGATTTTCTTAGCAGCCACCTTTTCTAAAAGAAGATATTTTACCAGTTACAATTTTTTCGTTTCAAATAAATTCGTAAACAGTACCGGCGTTCATGGTAAGTCTTCTTTTGTAGATATTAGCAAATGTAATGTGTTACTCAAAGAAACATGAAAGACTTTTGGGAATATTTGAGCGTGAAATACTCCTCAAAATATTTGGAGCTGTAAACGACCAAGGGCAGTGGCGCAGAAGATATAATTTTGAATTGTATCAGCTCTTTGATCAGCCAGATGTCATAACGTTCATTAAAACACAACGACTTAGATGGGCTGGACACATGATACGAATGCCAGAAAATACCATTGCTAAAAAGCTAACCACAGGAACACCTGTAGGAAAAAGAAGCAAAGGCCGACCGCGAATTAGGTGGTTAGATGGAGTAAAAACCGACTTACGAATATTAAAAATCAGAAGATGGCAAACATGTTGCCAAAAACTGAACAGAATGGCGACGAATCTTAGAGCAGGCCAAAATCCACAGAGGATTGTCGAGCCAAAGATGATGATGATGAATGTGTTACTCAAACGAATTAACCAATGACCTAACCAAATGGGCTTGCAAATGCTTCTTTTGGGTGAACAAAATTTTAAATTTGATGGTTTCTTCTCACCTTCCTTAATTACTCTCTTTAGCGTACTCTATGAGACACCATACACACACCAGTTGTTTGAGCTACTCGCTTTATTGCAGAAAGAGGACTGTTCTGAAGCCATTTTCTTGTGACATTTTAATATAATTTACTATTGTTGTTGGCAACCACAGTTTTAGTTTAACATATGTTTATTTTCACGTTTCAAGTTCCACTTCGGATTTGTATTTTTAAAATTTACTTGGTACAGACAGACGTTGAAGTAACACGGACTATTCTAAAAACAAAAATAACAAAGATACAAGAAGACGACATCGGGTTAACGAAAAACAACAGAAAACAAGAATGGATAACGCAAGAGATCATGGACATAAGACGAAAACATAAAACAAACCCAATAGAATACAAACGAGTCAATAAAATTATTAGAAAAAAGTGCAGAGAAGCTAAAGAAAACTGAATGTCAACCAAATGTCTAGAAATTTAATAACTTCAGGAAACATACGACACTTTTATTGTCCATAAAAAGTGAAAGAAATGATAGGTAGGTACAGAAAGAGACAAGAAACAATATTGAGAAATAATACTAACGGGATAATTATAGGTACAGAAGACAAACTTGAGAGATGGAAATAATACATTCAGACACTTTTTGACGATCATAGACCTTGTTCACCATTAACGGGTGGTCGAATAAATGAAAAAGGTTCAAAAATAACAAGATAAGTTATTTATGCAGTAAAAGCTGCGAAGAACGGAAAATCCACGGGTCAAAACAATATCAATGTCGAAATATTTAAATTAATTGCAGACAACGAAAGTAAAAGCCTCGACTTAATAACAGCACTACTCAATAAGATATATGACACAGGTAAAATACCGTCAGACTGGCTAAAATCAACATTTCTAACATTACCAAAAAAATCCAATGCCTTACACTGCGATTACTATCGAATATTAAGCATGATGTCTCATGTCTTTAACACAACGATGCAGAGACATCAATGTATTTGTGAAAGGCTTGCGAATTATCTTAGAACTATATTGGCACCAAACGGCAACAATTGAAATAGAGCACACAACATCCGAAGATACGAATCCGACGAGGTGTGCGACAAGGTTGCGTCTTATCGCCACTATTGTTTAATCTGAATTAAGAAGATTATAAGAACCATTACCGAGGTGTAAATCGTAACGTCAAAATAAACGTATTTTAAACTATAATTTTGTTGAATTCCCAGTGAAAATAGTAAATTAGATATAGATGAGTTGCGTTATATCCCAAATCGTTTTCCCGTTTCATAAATAAATAATCGTTAAAAGTAATTTGCCTCCCTTGGCTGTGTACCACCTTTTTGTATTTACTTTTCTTGTAAATCCACCTAATTTTAGATAATACATAAGAATTTTACTTACATTTTTTATATCTCAATAGAAAATCGTACCAACGACTGTTAGCAGAAAAAAAAATACTCTAGTATTACTAGTACTATGATAGTAAATTACTACTAAAAACTAGTTTGACTCCGTCTTGCTGTATGAACGCACTGCATTTTAATATTAAAAATAATTAAATGTTTTCAGTAATGTCGGATTTCATCGTTTCTAAATAAACAAGATTTTTCTTTAATATCTAATAATAGTTAGAGATAATCTATACCTAAAGACGTTGCATAGCAAATAAATAAAGAGGTGTTTGACTCCAAAGAAGTAATTTGTTGTAAAAAGAAATTCATTTAATTATTTTAATGGGTGTCAATTGAAAGTCTATATTTTATTATATTGTCCGTTTTATAATTATTAATTTCATTTCAAACAATATTGTTGTGTCACATACCCCTGATTACGGTCATGTGCGTTCGATAAATCCCAAAGTCTGTCTTTCCGCCGAAATGTTCCCACGAATTGATTTTATCGACACAGAGATGGCCTTCGAGAATTTAGTTATGCTTTCCAGACAGTTCGTTCTTATTATTTAAACTAGTACGGGCGGGTTTTGAGATTAGTATTTGCGATTGTACGTATCAATGCGAATTGTTTTCTAACCTACAATTAGTAATTCAATTAGTAATTGAGATATCTGTCATTAAGAGAATTAAATAAAGTTTGTTAAACCACTTTGTGCTTTACTTAATCTCTGTACCTATAGAATAACGTAACAAAATTTTGTAAATCATACAATTGATATTGTGCCAGATTTAGTGTATTTCGGCCACAAGATACTGAGCTGTCAAAATGTTTATTTCTGTTATATTATGTTTTCCTGAAATGAAAAAATATTTAAATTCTATTTTTTTTAGGCCTTCTTGAAGAGGACAGCACATCGGAAACTATGAAAACAATAAATTGTAAAATTTGTTTTAAGCAACTTGCCTATAAAAGTTCATTGAACAAACACATGATACTTCACACAGGAGAAAAGCCTTACAAGTGTGAAGTTTGTTTTAAACAGTTTGTTCGTAAAAGTTCTTTGAATGATCATGTGAAAGTTCACACTGGCGAAAAACCTTACAAGTGCGAAATTTGTTTTAAGCAGTTTACTTCTAAAAGCAATTTGAATGTCCATACGAGAGTTCATACTGGCGAAAAACCTTACAAATGCGAAATTTGTTTTAAGCAGTTTAGTCATTCGAATGATTTAAAAAGACATTTGAGATTGCACACTGGGGAAAAACCTTACAAGTGTGAAATTTGTTTAAATCAATTTACTTATAAAAGTTCTTTGGATGCACATACGGAAGTTCACACTGGAGAACAGCATTACAAGTGTGCAATCTGTTTTAAGCAGTTTACTTTTAAAAGCAATTTGAATGACCATACGAAAGTTCACACGGGCGAAAAACCTTTCAAATGCGAAATTTGTTTTAAACGGTTTAGTCATTCGAGTGATTTAAAAAGATATTTGAGATTGCACACTGGGGAAAAACCGTATAAGTGTGAAACCTGTTTTAAGTCATTTGCTGATTCAAGTTATGTAAAACTTCATATGAGAAAGCACACTAGGGAAAAACCTTACAAGTGTGAAATTTGTCTAACACAGTTTGGTTATAAAAGTTCTTTGCATAAACATAAGAAAGGTCACACTTTAGAAAACCGTTCAAGTGACATTTGTTATTAAGTTGACATTTGTTTTAAGTAGTTTTCTCGAAAACTAATTTGGAACGACATTTAAGAAATCATACTAAATAAAAACCATGCAGTTGTGAAAAGGCCCGGTACTTTCCTTATGTAAAATTGGTTTCAGTTAAATTATTGGTTGAAACTGGTGCAATGTGTCAGATTTTAGTTCATTTGAATAATATACAGGGTGTTTGTAAATAAGTGCAAACTAACGGCGGGCTCCATGAAAAAAAAAAATAACAGTTTGCTATATAAACGTACGTCCTCAAATACTTCCTTTTCTGAGATAGGGGTGTTAAAATTTTGGTTACTTCCTTGGATTTATTCATTGCTCTGAAATCAGTTGAGATATGCAAATGAAATTTAGTGCGATTTAGGAGGTAGTTATTGCGAATTTTTTAATATACAATTAAAAATTTTATATTTATCATTGGCTTACTTGTATGTTTAAATCGTAAAAAATCTTACTTGTATGTTTTTATATCGTCCCCTTAGTAGTAAAACTAGGTAACTCAAGATTTTTTAATTTTGAGTTATCTACTGTTACCGATGGAATTTTACACGCTCTTTTTAATGCTACAACTAGATAAGTTCTATTCCCATTCTATACATGAGAATCCGATTACGCAGTAGTATTTATGTCATAAGTTCGAAAAAAAATTGTTGCTAAAAGTGGTCACCTTGAATTATCTCATCACACCTTGTGACAATCCTATTAATCAGATATTGAAGTTCTTCGTAACTGTTTGCAATTAAATTCATGTCATCCGCGTACCTTAAATTATCAATATTGATGTCATTAATTTTGATACCACATTGAACACTATCCAATGTTTAATTGAAAACGAACTCCGAATAAATGTTAAATATTAGTGGGAGCAAAATGCAGCCCTGCCTTACTTCTCTTCGTATTTGCAGCTCTTTAGAATTATTCTGGCCAATTATTATGTTTGCACATTGATGCCAGTAATGGTTTTTAATGATACGGTTTGTATCATCGATGCCTATCTGCTGAACAGTGGCTATTATTTCAGTATGTTTTAATCGATCAAAGGCCTTCTCAAAAAACTTCTACGTGCGAAATGTATTTTCGTCAAGTTATTTAAAATTTCATAAGATTGCACACTGGAGAAAAACCTCACAAATGTGAAATTTGTTTCTTAAAGCAGTTTACTTAAGTTCTCAGGTTTCAGGTACAACATTCCATATATTACATCCATAAAGATTTTCAACTACGAAGAAAAGAAGAAGTCCAGAAAACCAATAAGAAAATTACGCCAAAAACATTATTTGAGTTTGTTCAGAAGACAAATCTTTATAACCGATTTCAAGCACTCGAACAAGGAGACTTTGCGAACCAAACCGACAAAGAACATTAGTAATGAAAGAGACAGCAAACTTCCACCAATATTTGTTCACAATGCACTTAACGAATTTACAATGGTAATAAATTATGTTTTTAAGATGGCTATTGTTGTAAAATAATTGTTTGTTAATGTTTTTTTAAGAAAAACGGCTCCTAGTTTAAGAAAAGACAACAAAGATTTTTTGTCACAAATTAAATGAAGAATTCATAAATGATTTTCATTTGAAATATCTGTTGTTTTGTCTTTAAAAAAAATTGAGACCATTATCCGTATGCGCGCCAATGATAAATATAGATTTCTTAATTGTATGGAAAAATTTTAACACTCTGTATCTCGAAAAACGAAGCGTTATTGATATACATTTATATAACAAACACCCATTATTTTTTCATGCAGAATCACCCCCTAAAGTTTGTTGCACTTATTTACTAATACCCTGTTGAAACATTTTATTTCTGAATCTTGGGGCAATGAGAACTTTTGATCAGCATGGCCAAAACTACCTCTGCTAAGTTTCAGTCAATTTAACTGAAACCATTTTTACGTAAGAAAAGTGCGAGGTTCTTTAGCGTACTTCAGTTAATTGACACTGAATTTTTAAAAAATTTAGAATTAGTTTTTATTTCATATTTCAGGCTTTCTTGAATAGAAAAATGCATGGGAAACTATGAAAACATTACTTGTACGCCCATGTAATAAAAAACGACCTATGTGCCTACCTGTAAAGAAAAAACAGTAAAATGTGAAATTTGTTTTAACCCTTTAATCGGTAATCCCGCCATAAGGCCGGCATTAAAATAACCGAATTATTTTAAAATGTAAATTTTATTTGATCTCACATCGACTACACCGCTTTTGGGCAAGAATAGAGTCGACCAACGGTAACGGTTTAACAGTTGTAGGTTCAGTTACTTGAGAGATATAGCCAGTTACGTAGAAACAAGCAAGTGAATCGTACATACAAATTATTGCTCTGGAACACGTGGAATCGAACCGTAAAATAAAATAGTTCTAGTTGTCCAATTGATTTTATATTTTTTTGGTAAGTACTTATAGTATTTGTTTGATACTTTGCTAGCGTGTTTGATGAGAAATGTAAAATTAGTGCTACTTTTTGAGTGTTGAGTGATACCCGCCTTTTGGCCGGCTTGTCGGTGTACGGTAAAAATAATTCCTTCGCGTATTTGAATAAAACTACATATTTGTATTATTTATACATTTTTTTCTTTCTATCGTAGACCATGGAAAAGAATAGATCTCAAATACCAAGAAAGTATGGTGTGAAAAGGTATCACGAGCTGAGAGAAGCGGAAAAAAGAACAAAATACGATCTTTCCACATTAACCGATGAACAGATCGACGAGATCTTGAACTCTAATCTTGCTTCAGATGACGAGTCAGTTTACGAAGATGATAATTATATCATAGCCGATCCGGATTATGACTACAAGGCGGATGTGCTCACAGCCGAGAACGATGAGATGATTGCTCCTTGTTTACGTGAAAAAAATATCATTGATTTGGATCTCTTCATGAACCTTTCGTTGGAACTAAGTTATCTCACTAATGTTAGTGAATATTTAGTGGGTGGGTGTAGTCACCAGAAGTTTCAACAACTGATCCAGATACTCAAATAGACGTTTCAGTATCTTCCGCACCGTTAATATCAAAAGAGCCAATTGCATCAACTTCCACACAACTAGCAACAACCACTACGTTCAAACCAAAGAAAAGACCCAGATCCCTGTTACCAACTGTAGAAACTACGGCACCGCAAATAGTACCATCAGCGGGTGGCTTTGCCCTATACACTACATTGCCCTATACTGTAAAAAAGCTGAAGACACCAATGGAGTATTTTTGTTATTTTTTTACGGATGAACTGATCGACCTGGTTGTTTATGAAACCAATCGGAACGCACGTTTGAAATACATAAACACACAATTCAACGTTGATGCAGTGCAGATTCGACGATACGTCGGAATTCTATTGTACATGTCCATTTTCCGTTATCCCAATATGGAGTAACACTGGGGAGAATTCGGATTTAGGCAAATTCCTCAGTGTATGCCAATGAAGAAATTTGAGCGGATAAAAAATATGTTTGTTTTGCTAATGAAGCAGAACGTATCCAAAAAGGACAACCTGGATATGATTTGCTTTTTAAAATCAGGAATTTGTTAATATTTTAAATGCACGCTTAAATTCCTTTCCAAAGAATGCGCAGTTATGTGTTGACGAGCAAATGTGTTCGACAAAAATGGCGCACCATTTACGCCAGTACATGCCGAACAAACCTCATAAATGGGGAATTAAGTTGTTTGTTCTGTGCGATACCACAGGATATTCGTACCAATTTGAGATATATAATGGTGCTGGAGATAACATCATCGTGCCAGGAACATCAGACCTCGGAGCTACAGCTACTGTTATTCGGTTGTCACAAACAATTCCAAATTTCAAAAACCATATTGTATATTGTAATAATTTTTACATATCCTTGCCTCTTCTAGTTTATTTACGAGCTCGTGGAATTTTTGGGATGGGGACAATACGTGCAAATCGAATTCCCAATTGTAAACTTCCGCTTGATACAGATAGAGAAATCAAAGACGCGGAACGAGGTTATGCAGTGGAGTATATGGGTTGTGCATATGGTGTGGATCTTACCACTGTCCTCTGGAAAGATACCAAACTTTTTTGTTCAACTTACGTTGGGGTCAAACTATTTCGGAAATTGAATTCAGACAAACAGGTAGCAAAAACGACTCGTTACGACAAAAAAAGAAAGAATACATTAATGTTGACTACCCCCAAATAATTCGTGAGTACAATTCGCATATGGGTGGAGTTGACCTCATGGACTTTCATATGGGACGAAGTGGAATGCGCATTAAAACAATGGATGCTATGACACGCATCTTTTACCATCTTCTGGATATGGCTGTCACAAATGCGTTCATTTTGTATCGCAGATCATATAATGAAAATGTCAAGAAAACAGATTTCAGAGAAGAAGAAGCTTCACAAGAAACAAATATGAGACTATTCCAATTTCGTGTGAAAATTGCTCAAGGTCTGTGCTCTTCTGTTCAGAAAAGACCCATTGGTCGACGTTCAAACTCACCGCTCCCTACTAATAGTACTAATGCTGGTAGAAAGGCGGTGCATCATGTTGAAGACGTACAGATCATGTTCCTGAATGGATTCCAGGCCGTAAAAAGTCCTGCAAATACTGCAAGAAATCGGAGACACACACTTTCTGCCCAAAATGTCAACTGCATTTATGTTATTCCGGTGCCAAAAATTGTTGGAAAGACTACCACGTCCGTCGTTTATGTTTATTTCATTTATTAGTTATTATCTATTAATTTTTTTACAAAGTTTATATTAATAAAAATTTAAATGTTTTTATAAACAACAAAAAAGCACTAGTTCATTTTTCCCTGTAGAACGATATACCGGCCATATGGGCGGCATTCTTCTTTTTCACTTTGTGGCTAACTCAATAAAGATATC